GAGCTTGTATTACCCTCCTCGCATGTCGAGTTTGTTTTTTGGTCCACGGCCGGATGACCTTTAACTTCTCGTACCTGAGCTTTTCCACTTTGTATTCTAGTGCTTTATGGAAAACTGATACCATCATCTTTGCTAAATTGAATAAGTCCCCCCTCTCAAATAACCCCCCCCCCTCCCCCAGTGGGTTTGAAATAAATAAGTGGGGGCTTAATAGAAAATTTACAGTACTCTCCCTCATTCAGGATACTTACAAACAAGATAAAAGTTGTCACAGGCTATTGTTAAAACTGACCGGCACGTTAATAGCACAGACACAACAAAAGGGTTTAACTAGCTAGCAGCTCGGATCTGGCACAAACAAACAATAATCAAAGTACAGCTATCGACTATTTTCCTTAAAAAATAAAATAAAAGTGATAAACTAGGGCTACCATTTTCCTCGTAGAATGCCAATAACGACTATAATATTTAAAAGTTTTTGACGTAACTGTTTTCATTCATGGTATTTCTGTTTTTAATAGGTAAATATTTGCTCTATAATAATGTAACAGTTGTACTGTTAAACTCCTTTAATGATACTACTGCTTAAGAATTCTCCAGAAGAGGCAGTAAACCTTTATACTAATGTCATACGAAATTGCAATTTTTAATTTATTTCTAAATTTCGCGCCTCTTCTGTCTCGCGCGTTCAGTCACGTGCGTGGTCATTTTTCTGTCTCGCGCGTTTCGCTCGACGAACTAAGAAAAAAGAGAGCCTGCTCGTAGTATATTCTGAAACAAAAATTCGTCGCAAAATCTCGAAATATGGTTGCCCAAATTGTCCATATGCTGGCCCTTGGCATAAAATGCTTTGCAGTTTTGGATATTCTTCTCTGGATGTTAAAAAAGCCACTCTTTGCAAAACTCTGTAGGTGTACCAGAAACTTCAACATGATGAATCAATCTGTGAAAATATATTTTGTTTTAATAAAAATCATTAAAAGTTGCAATTTTGGGTAACATCTGTAAAAAGGTCTGTTACCTCTTGAGGCAAATGTTTGTTTACCGGTATGTCCGTTTGTCAAACCTCTGACAAAACCAATCATTTGGTTGCATTCTAGAATTTGTAAATGATTATTTAAATTTGTATTTATTATAAGCCATTAACACTCGTACATTGATAATTATTAATGGTGCGAAATATATAAATCATTAACATCGTTCATAAGGCGAAGCCTTTTTACTCTTAATTCCTTAATCAAGCCATTAACTATTATAATGTTTTCATTTTAACATGAATTTGTTAATTATATTGAAGCACTTTGGTCTATACCCATGAATTGTTGCTAAATCTTACATAGTAAAATTTAAAGCTTCTTCATTGCAGTGTTCAATTTTGTTACAATTGACTAATAAATATAAGGACAGCCATTCTCTTTTAATAGTACACAAAAAGGCATTTTTCTCATTTTGCCAAAATTCTTGTACTAAATATATACCTGTTACGTTTTGCGTGTAGATACACTTAAGATTTCATTTAATAGCATTGGAAAAATAAACTGTGAAATCCAGAAAAAGAAGTATTCTTATACCAGTGCCTTCTCTAAAGTTAAACTGTTAAAATTTAAACTGTAGAGTTCTCAGTCTATGTAAAAAAATTCCTGCTGTTTGGCTTAGCCCTTAAATTTGCAATGCGAAGTGCTTTTGGAAATTCATTCACTGTGGGAAAATATTAATACTTGGCCCCCGACAGGGGAGGAGAGGGGTAGTTCCTCGGTGTGGCGGATAGTGAGTATCAGTATGGGAAACTGCTATCCTACCCCTCCCCGAATACAATGTTAACACTAACTTCTCACTTAGGGCAAAATGTTAGGTTAGGGAGGGGTAGTTGGCAGTTTTCCAGCATCTTATACTGATCCATTGAGATTTCTAGTGAGTTATTTAGTTGAGTGCTTTATCATTTATTGCGCACACCAAGAAATCGTGGTTATGCGCTAAACAGATAACTGCATTGACACCCTCTTAATATAAACAGAGTAGTTCCTAAAACACCAAGAAAATGTCCATGCTCGATCCATTTCCTCTTTTCTTTCGTCTGAAGCGCCTGCCATAAAAGCCACCTTCAGAATAGCCTGCAAACGCGGACGTATTTCCGGTCATCGCTTTTCTCTGGTCTTCTCTTATTCTTCGGTTGGAGAGACGCGACGACCGGAATTAAACTACCTCTGCGTTCGCAGGTTACGTTCAGAGAAATCTGGGGTTTTGTAATCGAAATCTATTTTGTGACCTTTCAAGGGAAATTTTTAGTTTTTTGCGCCGAAAGTTTCTCCGTGTCACTAGAGAATCTTGAGGTACATTGATTGACTATAGGAAGTGATATGCCCATTACTGGAAAGAAAATAAAATGCAGTTACGGTAACAGCATTTTCACTGACCATCTAGATTGCACAAAATACTCACCATTCGAGTTTGATTGATGTTAAAAGCCTGCACCTTCACTGAGCCGCGATTCTGAGTGAATAGCTTGACACATGCACTTCATTTGTCACATGTTCTGCACTCACAACAGCACAGGTACCCCAAGTTTTGAATGTGAGCGCTGTTTATATAACCTTTGTATCGACATTGTATTTCTGTTCTGTTTAGCGCTGGTTATAGGAGTTAATATGAAAAAGTAATACTCGTATATGGCTTTGAAACGGAGGGAGAAATTATATCAAAGGTGTTTATACTTCCATTCGGTGGCGTTTCGTAGCGATTTTAGCTAGTTTCCTTGTTTATTCTAACACAAGCTATATATGAGAAAGTGAACAACATTGAAACAAAACTATGTTAAATTTCTCGGAATTTTTTCTAGATTTTTACACTACAAATAGCAGCGTTGTAAACCACTGCAATAGTCCATTTCACAGTTGCTTTAAGCCTGTTTCAAAGCGAGGCTAAGTTCAAAGCCATTGCTTTAAAAATGATTTTTAATTTTCATGCACATAAAACGCATTTTCACAACAAAGGTTTTGCACTCAGCCTCATTTTGAAAATGAGGATTTCGGAACTCAGAAAGGTACATTGTCATAAATACGAGGCTCATTTTTCGAGGTTGGGGTACCTGTGATATCACCGGCACATTGAAAATGCATATTTGTAAGTGATCTGGACCAGCTAAAACACCATGTTATATTCTAGGTAGAAGTGATATCCCTGAATTCTGTTGAAGAATGTGGACCCAGGTATTTGAGTGTGTGAAAGCAAGCAAACCCTTGCTTGTGCTTTTTTCTTTTGTGTGAGAATTACCCGCAAAGCGAAGCCCTCGTGAGCTGCTTAAATCGAGTCGCTCCCTG